GCCTGTATCATTTTATCACAACACACAAAAACAGCGCACAAACGATTGTTGCTTATTTACCGTTTCGCAAGAAGGCGCAATTTGAAATGTACAAATATTTGTTATCTATCAACTCAATACAGTTTTATCTTTTAGACTTAGTCAGAAAAGTATTTTTTTTGTGCACCAATACTGATTTTAGTGTGTTTTTATAAATGTAATTATGTATTTTTTCGGGTTTAATATTGATTTGATAAACATTTGCGAAATTAACACAGGACCTACAAAATTAGTAGCACCATCTTTTTATTCTACCAGGCCTGTGCTTTCAGAAAATATATGGTGGGGGGGGTCTTTTACAAACTCTAATAGCTACTGTTGAAAAGAAAAAAGGAGAAGAAAAAAAAAAAAAAAAATAGCAAAAACGATATGGCCAGCTAAGGTTAAGTGTTCTGCGGGGCTTGGCAAGGAAACCTCTAGATCTGTAATTAAAGTCTTACGTTTGACTGTCTGGCAGAGATCAGTTAAGCATAGATCTGCTTTAAGACAAATAAGTGCATTGTTTGGACATGAACATTGTACAGGACTATAAATAAAATGTGATTCAGCATATGACAATTTGGTACTGTGTAGGGCTGCAACAACTAATCGACATAATCGATTATTGAAAAAGTTGTCAACTTTTTCAATAATCGATTAATCGGCTTCCGATCAGTTGGCCCTGTTCACAGCTCCACACGCTGTGCGCCGCACATCCTCCCGACCCCACGCTCGCCGCTGCCAGACCCGCTCGCATCCACGCTACACACGCCGCACCTCCTCCCCGCCTCACATTTCCTGCCCATCCACGATCGGCAAGGCACGCGCGGAGATGTAGTAAGGAGGAGCAGGGGTGGGGGGATGACAGCCGCTGATAGACAGGTCCAATCTCAGAAGCAAGTTGCTGGAAGACTGGTCAGGTAAGCCTGCACTTTCCCACACATGGTGCTCTATAATGTATTGCTGGGATTTGTATTCCTCTATAGCTGATGGTACATTGTACTGTACATTATACATAGGAATACAAATACCAGCAATGCATTATACACTGTATGTATAATGTATTGCTGGGATTTGTTGTACTCCTCTATAGCTGGTGATATTCTGCATTGCGCTGTATAGGGGACTACAAGTCCCAGCAATAATACATTATACAGCGCAATGCGGAATACCACCAGCTATAGAGGAGCACAACAAATCCCAGCAATAATACATTATACAGTGGTGCAATGCCGAACACCACTAGCTATAGAGGACTACAAAACCCAGCAATAGTACATTATACAGCTCAATGCAGAATACCACCAGCTATAGAGGACTACAACAAATCCCAGCAATAGTACATTATAAAGTGGTACAATGCTAAATACCACCAGCTATAGAGGACTACAAAACCCAGCAATAGTGCATTATACAGCGCAATGCAGAATGCCGCCAGCTATAATGTGCTTTTGCTGGGTTTTGTAGTCCTCTATAGCCGGTGCCATTCTGCGTTCATTGCTGTATAATTTTACACTTTCCATTTCACTATATTGCACACCACACCATCTTTTTTTTCTTTTTTTACTTCCACCGCTCCAAGCTTGCTAGTAGTCCTATCACTGGAGCCATTTTTTAAACTTTATTTTATTGTTTATCCGATTAACCGATTAATCAAACTTAATAATCGGCTAACTAATCGATTTTGAAAATAATCGTTAGCTGCAGCTCTAGTACTGTGCCTTACAAATGCTTGAGGACACGGAAGCAGGATTACCAAAATAATCCAACTAACCCGGATGCTATACCTCATTTACACATAGTTATAGGCAGAAACATTCAGGAAGAGTCATATGTAGCTCAGGAATAGCTTTTGATTCCTTCAAATGACATTAAGTTATTCTAGGAATGATATGTACTGCATGCTTGTGTTGGCCACTGTTACACCTCATTCACATGCAGCTGAAGTGCAATAACAAACTAGAGCTTTTCCAAAGTCTAGGGTCTAGTCTAGGGATCATACAACACAGCTACACATACAGTTTCCTAAACATGTGCCCTCTGATGATACTTCACCTTTCTTATTCAACAATCGCATTAAAAGCTGTGCAGGAAAAGAAATCATCCATTTACATCAGTTTGCATTTGTTTAATTCCTCCTAGGCCAGCAAAAAGGGAAAAGGACACAAAACGTTTCTGTTTTCTCTTTTGCATGTCCCTTTACATCCGCTCGCCCATAGACATGCATTGGGCATCAGGTCGGAATTCATCTGAAAAGCTGACAGACTGATCCAGACTGAAGTCCTGTGTGAAAGGGGAGTTACTGTGAAGAGAGCACAGCTGCTGGTACCTAAATGCTGCCTCAGATTTACTGTAGAACACCCCTGACATCGCCACAATCGTGGGTGCTTTGTTTTATGAATCCCCTCAATTTTTATGACGGACTCTGCTCTGCCTACTCCTCCCTCATCTGCCTAAGGCAGGGATGTCCAAACTCCGGCCCTCCAGCTGTGGTGAAACTACAAATCCCATGAAGCATCTCTCTCTGGGAGTCATGTCTGTGGCTGTGAGAATCTTGCAATGCCTCATGGGATTTGTAGTTCCACCACAGCTGGAGGGCCAGAGTTTGGACATCCCTGGCCTAAGGCCTCGTGAACACGGGCCACCTGCAATAAATACAGAAGAAGAAGTTATCTGGGAAGCATAGACAACTTTTATGCATTTAGCCGCGTTTAGCTGCGTAAACGTTCCCAGGACACAGAAAATTCTTGTTTGTGTAACCCTCAGCTAGCCTGAATGCACCTATACACTGCTAAACATCCAGGCATCCATAGCAAAGCATTAAATGCGAAGCAGGTGCATTTAGAAATTAACTCCAAATGCACCCGGATTCATGTATTTATATTGCTGTGTGCATTACGCCTTATAGTTAGCTTGTGAAGACACCAAGCAAGACACATGAGTTGGGATTAGCTGTTGACCATGGAAGCCCATGGATATCTGAATCAGTGCACAATCAGGATTTTAGGGGTTTTGGGCCCTTTAAGACTAGGTTCACACCTGCGCGATCTGTGATTGTACGGGGAATCGTACATGAAACCGCACGGATTGCAGAGCGGTCACAGTGGTGTTAACTCCCTACTCTGTGACCGCTCTGCAATCCGTGCGGTTTTGTGCCCTCCACATCTGATCGCGCTGGCGGTGCCATTATTTTCTAATGGCACCCCAGTCGTGCCAGGCGGATCACGTGGTTTTCCGCTGCAAATCCGCCTGTGCAATTGAACACAATCGTGGGTAAAAGAGCTGCGTTTCGTGTGTCGGAAAAAAAAAGGATGCTTGTACCTTTTTTTTTTTTATCTATTGACGCGCAGATGTAACCCAATTGAAAATCAATGGGGCCACGCGGCAATCGCTGTGTGCACCTAAACACAATCACGCGGTCTAATCTGAACCTAGCCTAAAGAGAATCAGAGTGTCATTAAGGCACTTGCAAAAATCTGTAATTTACAATAAGTGCAATTTAGATTTTTTGCCCAACCACAGAACCACCTTACTGGGAATTTCCAGAGAAAATAAAAAATGATTATTATCCAAGATCCTTCATGAAGTCACAAAGAAAGGTACCCATTTCTCACTGCCCCTTGCTTTCACTGTTAACACCAATGAAATACAGAACTTCTCCTGGAAAGCCTTTGTATGTTACAGTTACAATGCAATACTAGATTAAGCTTCAGCTGTGGACAATTTGTCCTCTAACATTGAGGAATTTACACTATAACTGATAAACTGTTTTCACACTGTATAAAATTAACTGAGTGGAAATTCATCGAGGGGGGTTGCCGCCGGCAGGACCAGGGGGGAAACTACCGTTGCTTCAGCACCGGCGATCACCCATCCAGTTCTTCCTTCTCTTCTTGGCCGCTCTGTAGCTGCAGCGGCCAAGGAGGAGAAGAGAAGGGAGAATCAGTCGAGCTGTGTGCCCGTCACTCACGTCCTGGTCACAGGAAGAGAGGTTTCAAGCCAAACTGTGGATTTTTATATGACCCCCAAGTATGACTGGTAAAGCAGATAGTGCCTTTCCATATGGCCCTCATATATGACTGGTGGAGCAGATCGTGCCTTCTCCTATTGCCCCCACATGACTGGTGGAGCAGATCGTGCCTTGTCAAATGGTCCCTACAAATGTCTGGTGAAATTTCCATACTTGGAACCACTGCCAATCAGCTCTCTTCAGAGAGCTGTCAAGCAGCTACAAAGCTACTACCACTGGATGCTACCTTTGGCACAGCTAGACCTGGTCTTGGGGAGCCATTGCTTTTCTGTCTGAAATGACAAGCCCACTTACCTTGCATTTATCAGCAGCTAACATTGCTCAAAAACAACTATGTGTTGTACGCATTATCTGCACTAAACACAACCCAAGGAAAGATTGACGTTAAGTGTTTACCTGACCTATATAACGCATTAGCAAGAAAATACCATCCTGACACCATTTTATACACAGTGACATCTTTCTGTATGTGAATAATTTTCTATGTGCTTATGTTCTGCAGCATAGAGAAGGGAATGGCTAGATCCTCAAGTTTTTAATATTCACAGGACAGGTTCACAATTACTATTTGTCATGGTAAACATTGTCACTAGGATTTGTCAAAAGGTACACCTGTTTCAGCAAGTCTCACATGGGATTTTCCTTGTTTTTGGAGATATTTTCTTCTCACTTCCTGTTTCTTTGGAACAGGAACATGAGGGAAATCTCAACAGAACACTGACAGAAAAAAAAAAACCTAAATAAAACCCCTGACAGGGGGACCCCCACTACTCTACACAAACATTTTGCCTATACATACACTTAAACCATTACATCCTGTTACTAATTTATTGAAGACTCAAGCCACTACGAAGGAAAGTATGATGCAAAAAGAGTGTTTTCCTTCCCTACATTAGCCTTCCTAAACTATTTACAAAACAAACATACAATGTTATTAAAAAAAACAACTTACCTTATGTGACCAACCAGTTCAATTAGTTTGTGGCTGAAGAAATAAGCAGTAAGTTCAGATATATGACTTAGCACAGAGCAGACGCCAAATAAAGTTGTAGTCCCATTAAGATCTTGCAGGTGCCAGAACAAAAAGGTAAAGACATATCCGTAACCAAATCCCATGAACCACGCTACAAAGAGTACAGAACCATACTGCACTGTGCAGAAAATCTTGAGCAGATCCCAATATCTGAAATGTTGAACTGGTTCCTCCACACCCCTGCTTTCATTTTGATTTTGTCCTGGAGATTCTGGTTGAGAACTTGACCCCACGGGAGAGATTTCTAGATCCTCCCTTCGCTCCTCATTTGTTTTTACATGATGATAATGAAAGTGAAATTGTGTAGAGACAATAAGTGCAACTGACATCAAGACACCAAAAACAATGAAAGCAATACGGTAGTTTTTATAATCGGGAGCTGTACAACCATCGCCCTGAATGATCACAGTTATGTGGGTGTGATCTATTCCAATGCCCACCGATAACATTGCCAAGCCCCAACCAAGGGATCCCCACATTCTTTGCAGTCCATAACGGTCCCGGTGTTTACCTAAATACTGAAGTGTCACAGTATCTACAATAGTGACAGCTGGGGCACTAAAGAATTCTCCAATGATAACCACCAGCAAAATCAACAGAAATATCGTTTCTACGTCTTCTTGGTTATACTCTAAAAAACTAGTGGCACTCTTGGTGGTGGTAGGAGCTATAGTTGTTGTAGTAAGAGCACTAAAGCTTCCATTACTTGTCAAAGGGTCGTCACTGTCATTTCCAGCTGCTCTAATAAACCGATGCATTGTGATGGAAGTTGCTTCATAAAACCTTTCACCCAACTCTTTTCTTGCCTCCAGTTTAAACTGATCTTCATACAAGTCTCTCTTTCGTTTGGTTTTTGTTGTGCTGGAGCTTGCTTTTGTAGTTAGAGTTGAGGTGGATGTAAGTGGCAGAACGGTTGTGTGTACTGGGCTGGAGTTAGTGGGTCCGATTGGTAAAGGATTGTTAGACACACATATTAAAGCTGCTGGTTTTACAAACCCTATTCCCAAATTGAACAACACCCAGCAAAGTACTGAGAAGAGCAAGACTATCTTTCCTTTTCTGAACCGGTCAGCTATGATACCCCAGAATGGGGCACTGCAAAATTCAATAAAATATCTAATGCCGACTAGAAGACCACCCTGAGTGGGAGACATTCCTAACTGCTTGTAGTACACCGGTAGTAGGGGATAGAGAGATCCATATGCAGAGTAAAAAAAGAAATAGAAGACTTTTGAAACAAGGAGGTCATTGTTAATTTTAACGCAGTGCCTTTCCAACCAGTCCATGTCTTGATCTGCAGTTGAAATGGTATCAGTAGTCATAGAGTTGTCCCTAGGTCCGGACTCGTTTTGCTCCGGGCTGACACCATTGAAAGGATCTGAAAGGACATATTTCCTCTTCTGTTCCTCCTCATCCTCAGACAAGATTGCAACTTTGTCCCCAGTAGCCATTGCCTAATAACTTCAGCAGGACCCAAGTATAGCTGTTCTGCTGTCCTGCAATTAAAAAGAGGGAAGTCAAGACAATGCAATGAAATGTACACATCAGAAGGTATAAGGTCTCTTTGGACTACAGAACGATTAGTCTACAATGCTATGGTGATGCAAGAGTGGGAGTGTTTGAGCAGTTTAGCAAAAGACAACTGGGCAGGGCTGACACCACTCAATCCCCAAAAATGCAGTGTGCTGTCAGCCCACAATGGGACTTGAGTGTATTTCTTACAGCTCAACAGGTATTTTCTGTACCTACAGGGTCTTTAAAAGGGATAAAACATGGGGACATGTAAATGTATTGCAGGGCTATACTGCATATGCTTTTTTTCTTTGCCCTGACATACAGCTTAATAGAGAAAAGACCTGCATTACACATTATGAAGCACGTTGAATTCATTCTTTAACCATTCGATGTAAATATTACATTCTAGTGTTTTATATAAAAATATGTAAATAAAAGCATATTAGTAAAAATAAAAAAATGAAAGGGTGATTCATTTCATGTGCCTGTTTCTGGGTTATACATAGTTAATGTCTGAGCAAGCAAAATTGTGTTTTGGAGAGGTTTCTAATGTTAGACTCTGCAAATTGTTTCTCTCTTATCTCTGTTTTTGTCTTCTTGATGTTTACTTTATAAATCCCCCCCAAGGTTGTCTCATGATCCTTACCACCATGAGCAGTCTTTTACACGTGCATGGTTTTAATAGGTTTACGCTCCTCCATCCCCCTTTGTGTTTTACAGATAACCTTTTGTTTTAACAATTATCCTTTGAACATAGAGTGAATACGCAAGTTGGTTCTTTATACCCAAGTATTTGTCTGAGGGCCCATTCACACCACATCCAGATCATCTCCAGACCAGGCCAGATTGTTTCCGGACCCAAAATGCATCCCAATGTATCCCTATGCTATTTCTGGCCTCTGTTCACACCAGCGCAGTCCGTTCCAGACCAGAAAAATACTGCATGTCTCATTTTGTCTGGTCTGGAATGCACTGGAACTGCGGGCAGGTTCACACCATTTTCCGGACCAGTTCTGGTCCGGAAAATAATGTGAACCTGCCCTTAAGCTGACAGTACAATCGAATCCTGGGAAACCTTAAAGAGAAAGTCCTACCAGAAGACATGGGTTCAAGTCCCTTTACTGAGGGTTCACGTTCAGAGTAACCTTCCCGTGGGTTAGAGGCCCATCATTGGGGGTTAGAGTCTCAGCAGAGTAACTTCCCTGAGGAACCCTAACAAAAATGAGCTTGATAGGTAACACCTGATCATGCAATCTAAAAATACATTTTTGCAGTATCATCGCACACACATGTAAAATAACCATTCGGAAAAAATGAAAAGAAAATACTGCAATAGTATAGTAAACTGATACTAACAGTGACGTTCGCTTGGTGCAAGATGCAAAGGTCATACCTAACTCTGAAGACTGTGGGGGTAGTTAGCCCTAAGAATTCCTTTATCTAAAAGACCTATGATAAGGGTGCCAAGATATTTTTCCTTAATAGCTTCCTCTTATTCTGTCATTCTAAAGTTGGCCATACACTCAGCTGAACGAGAAAAGAAACACCCAACAGTGGATAGAGCAATCTCCCTTGCTGACCATTGTGTTCTGACAGCCGCTGAGTGGCTGCAGTCACTGTGCGGCCAAAAGTTTTCCACCCGGCTCCGTAGACAAAAGTCGACTGAAAAGTCAACTTTTGTTGAATAGAGAGGTGACAACGGGGCCACACACACATCAAATTTTGGCCGAGTCAGTAGGGCTCCGACAAAATTTGAGCAGTGTATGCTCAGCTTTAGCCTTGGTTAACTGTTGCTACTCAAGCCTATGCACAATATTCTTGGTGTGGATTAAGTTGAAACTGTGAAAGGATGTCAGCTCATGCTGGTAATAAAGGGATGATTTATTAAAGGCGTAGAGCATGTTCACTTTGCAATGTATATGAGGTGAAGCTATCTTCACTTTGAACATCCAAACATGTCCAAAAAAAGCACAACTCCGGCCACAAAATTCACTTTGCAAAGTGAATATGCTCCACTACTTTAGTAAATCACCCCCTATGTGTTGTGTAGGAAAACGAAAAATGAGACTTATTTTGATGGTGTTTTATGTACTAATGTGTACCTTCTGGAGCGGATGTACCTAAAAATATTATAACCTAAATAAAAAGATTTAACAGTATATAGGTAATATGTGAATATGATAGCAGCATGGAGTTAGTATTGCAGAAACTAGTGGGGGTTACTACACATTATCCGCTTGTTTAGGCTTGCAGTGTGCATAGGAGAAGATGGCTTTGCTGGCACAAAGTGTTGCTGTCACCATGCTAAGCTCACAGTGATCTCATGTCTGCATCCCAGCCAAATGGAGCGAAAGCAATCTCCTGGACACATTTTACCGCTTGGAAAAATCTGCTGAAAAACCGTGCCCTCTTTAGGCTATTCATAAGGCATTACTGAGATCTGCAGGAAATATGAACAGAACATTCCTTAGATCTAAAGGCATAAGAAAATGTTTCACTCTCCATTTTATTTATTTTTTAAACACTGACCTCAATGTAATGGTCAATTTCTAATTTTTGCTGGTGTCTGGTTGAAGAGGAAGCATAGAACATCTAGGGAAAAGCTCACCATACAATGCCCTTCTGTGAAACTCCTAGCGCTTTAGCCAGACATCAGCAGGATAAGTGAGAAAAGGAGGAGATCAGTCGCTGCACACAGTCCTCTAACAGGCATTTGTGAATTCTGTCTATAGGAAAATGTTCGCTACGCACTGGCCGAGGCATATTGACCACAATCTGTCAAATCTGTAAGCAGCTGCGTGTGGACCTGCGTGGAACACCCAACACACCCAGAGCAGAATGAAGACTGTGCAGTAGAAAGTCTGAGGATATCTATCATGGTAAAAATGACACGTAAAAATCTAGTTGGAGTACTGACACTAGCAATTAAAGCCAATTAATGAGCTACTCACATGTCCTGCCCAGACAACATGTCATCCTTTCCTAAGCTTCTAGTCACTTTAGAGTCTGGGAACAGAATTTGCTTTTTTATGGCAAAAACTGGTACTTTTTCAGTGAGAAATGAGATTTTGTCATGTGGCCAATACATAAACAAATTTGTTGGTACCCTTACAGCCCACTGAAACAAGGTTTCATTCCTCCTGAAAAGTAATCCAATTGAAAGCAATTGTCTCATGTAGACTTGCCTGCCTTTGGTATATCATAGAATAAAGCACAGAAAGTGTAAAAAGAGACCAAATTATTACTTATTCTACAAAGAAAAGCTTATAAATAATTGGATTATAGAGATAGTTCACACTATTTTTGGTAATATCACGTGTTCAATCGTGTAATCAGCCATTCAAATGAAGGTAGTCACTCTGTAACTGTTAGCCATCATTGTGTGCACCACACCAAACTTGGGCCAAAAAAGAAAAGGAGAGAGTTGTCTGCGGAGATCAGAAAGAAAATTTGAGACCAGCGTGTCAAAAGGTAAAAGATATAAAATCACCTCCAAACACCTTGATATTTCGTGGGAATACGGTTGCAAATAAAGAGATTTAAGCTTCATGGGAGTGTAGCCAACCACCCTGGACCTGGCTACAAGAGAAAAATTATCTAGCAAAACATAGTGCCCAGTGTCAGAAAGCTCTGTCTCAGTTGCAGGTTATGAGCCAAAAACACACAAACAGCTAAAAATGCCCAATAATGGCTAAGAACAAAACATTGGGCTATTCTGAAGTACCCTTCTATAAGCCTTGATCAGAATCCTAATCGAACATCTATCAAACATGCAGTCTGGAGAAGGCATCTTTCTAACATGAGACAGCTGGAGAAGTTTCCTCAAGAAAAGGAAGTCAAACCATCTGTTGGCGGGTGCAGAAGTCTCACTGAGAGCTACAGAAATCCCTTGTCTGCAGTGATTGCCTATAAAGGGTGTACAACAAAATAGTAGGATGTGGATCTCATCATTTTTGTCCATGCCATTTTCATTTGTTTTCTGTTGGATCAAAAATCAAGAGCAAACTCTGATTATCATTATATATGGAATAAACGATGTTGGATGCCAGTTTCAAATTATTTAAGAGAAAATTGATGGTTCTTCTTTTTTCCTGGAAGGGTACCAACAAATTTGTCTGCGCCTGTATGTACCTTACTAGTTTATGTGAAGCGTGCATTGTGTGCAACGGCGCAGAGAAGAGAAGCCCGGTTGTAAGCATTATAGCTGGCTCTTTACCAAAAACCATGCGGCTAGAAAACCAGACAGAAGTCAAATAGTTGCTTTTTTCTTTCAAGACTTAGGAAATACTAGGACCCAAACCGTATTTTCTGCTTAAAGTGACACTAAACTCAAGAGTTAAAATCTTAAACATACATTAATACCTTAAAAAGGAGAACTATGGGGTTAAGGCTTTTCCCCATAGTTCTCCTTAGGGTAGCGGGAGGACACAAACTAGCGTCCTCCCGCTACCCTAAGCTCAGTATACTGCGAGCTGTAGCTCGTGGTATACTTAGACGCCACAGCTGAATCGCATCCCGACAATTATGCCGGGATCCGCCCAGCTGCATGACTGACAACTGGCTCTGCCTATCTAGAGGCAGAGCCAGCTGTACCCGCCCCCTCCCCGTCCGTTCTGCCAGTCAGCGCTGGCGGATCGGAGCGGGGAGGGGGGAATCCAGCCCCTCCCCTGTCATGGCAGAGAGCCGTGACAGGATCGAGAGGTGAGCGAACGCCGGTGTGTGTTCGCTCATCTCCCAATCTACTGAGCCGACCTGTGACAGTCTCATTGTCACAGGTCGGCTAGAACTATGAGGTGAGTGAAAAGCACTCACCTCATAGTTCTGCTTTAACTATTAACAGAAATGTAACTTAATGTATCACTCGGCTCTAGATCCTCAAATCATCTCTGAATTTAGGCTGACACTGTCCTTCCTTCTGGAGGGTGGCTACTTTTGTTCCCCATGGTCCCTGTGTGTTGTTAAGTAGTCACCACTCCAAGCT